AATTTTCAGAGACTTATTTAGATGTATGCTTTGTATGTGAATGTTAAAGTCGTTTTATTATAAAAATAGCGAGAACGTTTTTTACAATAAAGATAGAATAGATAAGAGAAAAATAAGCTAGATTGATATGGTAGGAAAGAATAAATCTTGCTGGATGTTTTAAAGGTATTTTTATTGAAGGCGATTTAGGAGGAAAGTTTAAAATAATTGTCAGTTGATATTCGTCCAAAAATAAGCCTTCAGACGAGATTGAATCGAATTCCAGCCTTTCTTATTTTGCAGTAAACCCTTCCAGCATGTTAATGAGTTGTTCAATGGTACAAACATATTGGCAAGGATGTAATGTCTTTTAGAATAAATTACTAAGAAAGTTTAGGACTTACGCTTTGAGCGAGAACGAAAGGCTGCTAGAGCAGCACGATGCTCTTGGCCACCCCATAGAGAGGAGAAAATCTTGCGCTCCACTAGAAGGGCCTGATCAAGCGCGTGCTGATCTAGCTCGGACATCAGTGCTTTAGTAGCACGGATGACCTTAGAAGACCGACCTTTTATAAGACTATCTATCCACTTGAGAGTAAAGGCCAAATGCATATGCTCTGTAGAAGCGTCGTCTGGTCCAGGCACAAGACTGTCTAGCAGACCAAGAGACAGAGCCTCTTGAGATGAAATCTCGTGACCACTGAGTAGAAATTGAAGAGCCTTCTATAAAGGAAGTAATGGTAATCAAGTTACACATAGAAATTCAATCTAGACAATCTTTGGGATATCACAGGCCAGGAAATCAAAAATCCCAATCACACTAGCTAATATTGATCACCGCTGAGCTCGACACAACAACTGGTGGCTGGATTCGGTGTCGTTTTTAATGCACGTTTTGCCACCAATGGTCCACCATATCCCCCTCGATCACAGATTTTGGATGTCACATATGCTTAGTAGTGGTAGTGAATGCCAGTTTAAAAGCTTGCATAATCTAGCTGTAGAAACAATTTACATGGTCACATCTCGTAAGTTATTAACTTTTAGTCTTTGGTTATAAGTGAGCAATCGAGGTCGTCTTTCTACGAAAAAACATCTAAATTTCTTAGATTAGGCTTACATAAATCACCTTGCATGAATTATGCGAATTATCTACGACTAAGGGAATTTCGCCCAACAAGTAAACTCATTGAATTTTAAAGTGAACGTAAACCACATTCCTTCCACTCTGGAATTAAACCGTCCATATGAAAAAGGAAAATTAACATGAAGTAGGGGTACTTTTAGGCAAGCTTCGTCGTTTATTTCCATACGAACACACCGTTTTTAGCCTGTAGCTTGCTCTCCGATTTTTTCGTAAGTCTATCTTGACCCCGTAAATTTAAGCAGTGTGAGACTAATTAATGTTCAGTTCTGGAAGTTTCTCACTTTAGGCTAAGGCTAAAATAACCACTAGGAAATAATGGCAGAAATATTATTTAAGTTGATTCTATAGCTAGTTTTTAAATCTTCTAAAGAGATTAAATAAAAAATATGGTATATATTAAGTCTAGAGTTATGCTTTAGCCACACA